GAAAAACAAATGATGATTAACTGACTCTATATTATCGATATCAATACCAATATGCAGGGTAGCCACATATGATTTCAGGATAACTATAATTGTTGCCCAGCGAGAACCAACAGGAAGTGTAGAGTGTTTTGTCCAAATTAAAAATAAATTCTTTAAAAAATTTTTATGTATTTGACAGTTGAAAAATTATGCACCAGCATGATGATTTGTCAGATGAAAATAACAAGCAATACCAACAAAATAGCATATTTTTCCCCTCAGATCCCGTTAACTATACATATTTTTTCATAATTCAACAATTAGTATTTTTCAATTCTGTTAATGGACGTTTGGGATCATTAAGAAGTATTCCAGTAAATCTTAATCATTTAAATCACGTATTTTTAAGGAAATACATATACCTAATCAACCGCGGTAAAAATAAGCCTAAAAAACTCGAAAACCTGGCCGACACTGTATCCTAACCGAATAAACGAAACAGCGAAATGAATATTCAAGTCGACGTTTTCCTTTCTTTGTGGTCAAAGCTTCACCGGTGTTATATGAAACGGAATTTCTTGCGATATTCGCAAATTTCATTAGATGTTGCCTAGTCGCAAATTTTTATTCTATTCTGAGTACTTTTGAGTGAAAGCAATGCTACCAAAATTCTCAAATTCTCTAGGTCTATGACAATGGATATCGATGCCAGACTGTATACAGATGAGTTGCGGTTCGCGGTAGCTCACTTTGGTGTTTATTTGCAGGTATTCAGGCGGATCAACGTGTCCTCAGGACACTAATAGGCAACTACTTGCCGGATCTGGACGAGACCTTAAACAGTCACGACATTGAATTATCGCTGATAACGCTCCACTGGTTCTTGACTCTATTTGCCAGCGTTTTTCACATGAAAATCCTTCTGCGAATCTGGGACTTGTTCTTTTTTGAAGGGTCCATCATTCTTTTCCGAATAGCTTTAAGTATGCTCAAAATGAAGGAACCTTATCTCAAGGAGCTGGAGAATTCTGCTCAAATATTCAATGCCTTGTCAGATATTCCTGGAGGAATTGATGATGTCGATGCATTGCTAGAGGTGAGAAGAAAGCATCAATGAATTTTGTAGAAATCTTGTAAATTTTATACGATTACTATGTATTTCCATTGAGTAATAGAGAGTCGATTCCAAAAAAATATTCCTGAATTTCCCATACATCAAGTGTCATGATATACCTGTGAATGGTAGGCAAACTTGATGTTTTTCCTCCGTAATAAGACAATAAAAACATTTCTCTGGGTCTTAGAAGGTTTACTCTCTCTAATAAATACAAATATTAAAATTATTTCAAAATACCTCTAATAACGACAACTCAGATATTTTGCCCCAAAATGTCATTGCGATTAAAATTCCCATATTATTAGAAATCTGAGAGTTACAGCTTGTTCAGAGAAAATATTTATTTTTGAATATTCCAGTGATCACTTCTGTTTCAGAATATTTCTTTTTTTTCTGAAATGAACTCTTGATCTATACCAAAATAATTAAAAAAAATCATACAGTTCAATTTTAACTTCTAAAGTAGCATAAATGAATGAAAATGAATTCGGAAGTAATGACTATCACTCGATCACCTAGTAGGTATATTTTTCTATATTAGAATAAATGTCATCAATGAAAAATCAATGCCGTTGTGTTGGAAAATTTAGCTAACATCATTTGTGTGTGTAACATTTTGAATGCTCTTCTCCAGAGATATTTCAATCTAAATGTTATTGTAGGTGTCCAAGGAATTGACCAGCTCATTAAATGAAGTTATGATAGAGACATACAGGAGAAGGCAGTTGGCATATTTGATGACCGACCAGGGGGCACTGGTCGGAAATCCAGAAGCAGCACCGAACCTTCCTAAACAACATCTAGCTAGGTAAGTGACAACTTGGCCGATTTCTTGAGGGCATTTCCATGCAAACTTTCAATTTATCCAGATTTTTTGGGATTTTCTCCCAAATAAAAAATTAATGTTATTTCAATATATGTGTAGTGCGGACAGATATATCAGATGATTCGTCCCAAAATGTCAGTGTGTTTGAAAAATTCACTATAAGAGAGCCTAAAAGAAAAATTCAATCGGTTGTCGGTGACACCGTGATTTGGAAAATATTCAAAGAAGAGGAATATGAAATTTTCACTTAGCTTTGGACGTTTCGAGAATGAATCTGCTCCCGCCTTCAACATGAAAATGGGAAAATAGTATTCTTGATCGGATTTTTTTGCTGACACTTTTAATAAGTGACAGATCTTGATGCAAAACAGGATCTTGAATTCACCATTTTCATATTCAAATTTTACTCGTGCATGAATACCATATTCTGTATATATCTACTGAACAGGAAGCAATGTTTGATTTGTTCACTTCTTTCTCCTGCCGTAAAAAATATCAACACTGTCCCTATTAAATTATCAAGATTCTGTATGAACAACACCAGAAAATCCAATCTCGTCATTAGTTGTGAGTGTGTTACTTTGTTTTCTAAAAACGTTGAATTCAAGCTTGTTCTTATTATTTGGTGTTTTCTATATTTTTGATCACAAGAATATCTAAGAGAACATATTTATGGATGTTGCAGGAGGCAAGTTAAGAAAAATAAATCGGTTATACAACTTTTACTTTTCAATGAATATACGGACGATGACATTAAGAGCAAAAACATCAAACAAACTGAAATTATGGTTGATCTGAGAGAGGCAGTTTTACAAGTAAGATTGTACATTATGCACATTGAATCATAATCATCACCATTCATTTGCTTCATAGAAATTGATGTTCAGGATGGTCCGTTCAACTTGGAACAACGATAAATCTGGAAAACTACGCATTGTTGAAAAACAAGAGCTCAAAGTTCAAAAGTAATACACTTTCAGATCCTTTCCAGGGTCGACTTTCTGATTACAATCTTAATTTCCACTCAATATTCAAGAGCAAAAAGATACTACCAACTTTTGTCTGAGACATCTTCTTATTCAACTTAAATTTTAGAAAATCTAAACCATTGAGTCAGAAATCATGCGGATATCATTTCCGTGCCTTGAGATCGTTTCCAAAGTTGTTACAGGGTCATATTAGTTCCTCAACTCGAGACATTGAAAATTACATTACATTGAAAACTGTATATCTGAACCTGTAACGAAGGCCGTTACAGAACTTTTTTTTTTGTTCCAGATAGGAGCTGTTCATTGTTTGATGTATTTCGATAAGTAGAAAATATTGATTTCGGAAATACAAAATTAATTCCGATATTACCTGATTTGGAACAACTTCGTCAAAGTCGAATAAGAAAATGTCACAGTGAAAATTGTTAAATTTTTGTCTGTTTTTCAAAACGGACTGATGAAAAATTTAGGTTTCTATTTTCGAATAAAGCTTACCTTGTAATCACCCTTTTCGTTTGGAGGTAGTTGATAATTTACAGAAATTCAAATTTTGTCGAAACCACAAGAGTTATAGAATTTTATTCAAAAAAAAGTTATGTGCCCTTGAAATGATATTCACAATGATTATGGTATGGGTTTTATTGCTATTTGTCGAAAATGAAATGAAGGATACTACACTACTACTGCTCAATAAACTATGCCAACGTACCAAATTTCAGTGAAATCTGATAAACCGTTTCAAAGTTATGAAGCAAAAACGATTATAAAATCATTACTCCAGAGCCGTCTAGGGCCCAAACTAAGCAACTTTGTACTGAGGTAAGTTTGCTTGTATCACATTGTTTTTTTCAGGAATATATGTAGTCGTTTTTCTTAAAGACCTTTCAGGGACACCCTGTTTGAAATTTCAGCTTGTGAATTGCAATTCGCATTAAATAAATCAACTAGATGGGTACATTACTCAAAAAGGTTGAGAACCGCTGATTTAGACTCTCAATGGCATATGTGGGACAGTTAAATGTTTCAGTTGCCTACTGAAATTCTCAAGTTGAACGGACCACCCTGTATGTTTTTGAAATTGATTAACGCCCAAATTTTTAGATCGCTCGACATTTCATGCAAATGGATCCCAAACTGAGTTCTGAATTAACTTTAGTAGCTAATTATTCAATGGAAAGTCATGCTTCTGATCATATAAACTATATAAATGTATCAAAGAATAGAAAAAGGAGGGCAAAAGCTCTTTTAGGTAATTTTGACGTTCGAATTATGATTTCATGTCATTAGCAGTGGCTGAAACTTTCTTGTTATCTTTTAGATTTCGAAAGACATGACGATGATGAATTGGGATTCAGAAAAAACGACATCATCACGATAATCAGTCAGAAAGATGAACATTGTTGGATAGGAGAATTGAACGGTCTAAGAGGTATGTGCTCGTATAATTTTCCTATGACGATGCATGAATACCATATTTAAACCATGTTTCTCAGAAAGTTACTGGATATCAATGTAATCAGAAATGGTAATGCATCTAGTTGGGATGAAGGTTTGCTAAAAGTACAGATGTCCTCTTGAAAATTTTATGTGAGAGTATGAATTCATATTGTATCAATGGTGATTCAAGTATGAGTCTTCAACAATCTAGACATATTCAGACTTGCGCCATTTCACACTTTTTTTCCATTTAAATCTTCATAAGAAAATCTAAGGTTCTGATTGGTTCGCAGTGTCATGTGATTTATTCAACGCATGAACGGCTTCACGAGGCTGAACACCATGACAGCAAATATCTGAATTAAGTGAGGTTAGATTACCCTGTCAGGCTGCTATGAATCTGGATGAAGTGTTGGGTCTTGAAACTGCTGATCGAAGGTCAAATACCATGTTTTTAATATAATTTCTGTAGAGTGTTCGCTCTCAGAATGACAATATATGAAATAAATTACTTCAGCACTCCGTATATCGTTTTTAAAACACATTACGCGAATATTTATATGTATCAATGATATACGAGTTGAATGATGCATCATCGTTTTATGTCTTTGATATTTCGCACACTCGATAAAAACACAAGTTTACATCACCCTCTCTTCGATCAGGCGGAAAATAGCCAGGTATATACTATAGAGCTCTTGGAGGGTATCTGATGAAGAATTGGAGGTGATCGGAGTTGGTACTGGTATATTAACCCTCAGTTCTGGAGCCTATCTTTTCGATTCTTGTATCTATGAATTGTGCAATAAAGAAATGGACACTGTCAGAAATCTTGGAATAACGAGTACTGTGAGAGGATAATGCTTCCTCAAAATTTACTGATTCTGCAGCAGCATTACACTGCACATCACGATTTCCTGATTGTTCTTCTATAGGTCCATCACAGCTGGTATTTCCTGGTTCCTCCCCGTTCCTGCTGCTGGTACTCTCTCTTTCTCTCAGTGCTGCTTCTAAATCAGAGAACTGTTCTTCACCTATGGAAGAATTTGTGTCATGAAGCGAAATTTCTGTATCGCTCTGATCAGAATCATCAATTCTTTCATTCTGTCCTGAAATGCTCCGTCCGGGTTCAACCATGAGTCGCTTTTTCTTCTTATCAGGTTCTTTATTTTCTTTGCCATATCGCATTTGTTGTAGATGTTGAGAAAGTGTTGTAGTTAGAACGTTTTCATTCAATACCTCCTTATTTCCTCCAGGAAGTCGTTTGAGGACCTGTGTTCTATCTAAAGGACAAATCCTGGTCGCTCTAAATCCTGATTCTATGATCTGAGTTTGACTATCGCTTATATATTCTTTCAGAAGCGAAGGAAATTGAAACTTAGGTACACTCCCTTTCTTCGATAATTTCCATTGTAGCAACTGTTTCCTCCAAGCAGCCTTCATTGGCTGAAAAAAACCACATCAAGCGGCTGACATATATGAGTGCTATTGGGTAGGAGTAGCATGAACCTTATGTTATTTTCTCTGCATTTCTGGATAACATTTTGGGAAATATGGCTAGACAGGTTATCTCATCAATACTTTTGGTCCAGTGCCAAATTTTTTAAAATATGAAATGATAATGGAATCGAACCAATCTTCGGAAACTCTCGCATCCATCCATCCGGATTTGGTTCTATTATATCTAGTCCCATTAGGACCTCTTTCTCTCCATGAATCATAAAGATCATAAAGATATTCGGCTTTATAGATAAGGTAGGAGGGAAGTAAGGTGCCACTCGCACTGCATGCAACCATTATAGAGTTGCTCATTTTTAAACTATCTAAACACCTTTCAGAATGTTTAATGCCTTTTCTCACAAGGTCTTTTGATCGTCCTGGATCGTCGCTCAAATTACTTTCGCCATCATTAATTAGTTTGTTCGGAGGAATTCCTTGCAATGCAGAGCCCAAATTTTCGAAATACCTCGAGATTGTTTCGTCCGATACCTCTGCCCTGATGTTCCAAGTTTTCGGTGAATTTTTGAAACTGACTTTTGTAATAAAAACCGAATTATTGGCAACACTGTTTGGAGCTGCGCAATGATATCGCGGCTTTCGCAAGAAAGATGGTTACTAAACATAACCAATATGAAATGAACGCCGTATATTAAATTCATCATGTCGGTTGATGTGAAATTTTTATTGGTATTGTTTTGTGTCATATACCTACTTATATTGTCAATTTAATAAACAACATTCTCAATATTTTATACGCCACTTACCTTTAATTGAATGAGAAATCACTAAACTAAAAAACGAAGCCGGTTAGAATGTTTCAACATGAAATCAGCTGTTGATTTGAAAAAGTTTTGTTCCAATTTACCCCACAGTTCCAAGTATCCCCATTCTACGGTATATACAGTAGTATTATCACTACCAAGCAGAGAAGCCTCTGTGGAATCTTTGATTCTTTTGGCTTGATAAAAAAATAATCTCATAATCCATTCACCTCATAAGTCTTCGATTATAAAACTCATTCTGAATATATCAAATTTTTTGTGTTGTTGTGTTGTTGCAACGGTAAAATAACCAACAAATATCTGAGATTGATCGCAAAGTTTAGTGGTGAATCAAATATATACAGGGTGTAACATAGATACGTTGAAATATTCGAGTGACGTACCCTGAGAAAATTTTGAGACAATATCTAGATGAACTTGTGACCGGAAATGCTTCGTTTAGGAGATACAGGGTGTTAATATTGAATTTTTTTGTTCGTTTTTTGGAAATAACTCGCAAATAATGAGTTATTTGCACGACATTTGGTATCCGGGGTTTTTTGGCGTTGGAAATCATAATCTCGTATTAATTTCTATGTAACATCTAGAAGGCGCTGCGTACGCTGTCACTATTTATTTCAAATTGCCCTAACATTTTTGACAGTAAACTTCTTGTACGTTTCATGAAACAATCATTCTCACACCTTTTCCAAGTAAAAAAAACACACTTCCTCAACAACGCTGGAGGTGATCGTTTTGGAGATATTTACAATTTTCTATATCGATGCATGTTACTTGGGTCCTAGGGCGCTTAGTGAAGTTGCTGAGAACATTACAAAAACTAAGGGGGCTATTCTGCAACGCTCAACGACATCGTTAGCGAACGATAATCGTTACGGAACGATATTTGTTATTCTGTAGCTAACGATTGTCGTACCTGTACGACAAAACTTATCGTTTGTAGACGACATCGGCTGAGGTGTCTTTGGATGCATTTTTTTGTCGTTACGTGGAGAAAACATAAAAAATAACATAGAAATAAGTGGCAGACAGAGTGGTGAATGTGGAAAGATAATTTGATTGCTGATTATTGAGAAATGAATAACCGGGCATTAGTAGAGCTAGTTCTAGAAGAGATAGCACACAGATAATATTAAACTCTTCATTGCTTTCAGTGATTGCATTGGTACATTACATTGTAATATCATGTAATATCATTAATAAACATTTCAGACAACAAGATATAGACAACAACTCAGAATACTCAGGGATATGAGTAATCCTGAGTTACCAGATGTGCTAATTCGTCGGATGTACAGGGTGATTCACCATAAATGTCCCCCCTCTAGCTCAGTTATTTTTGAACCGATAGCAAAATTCAAGTGATCATTTCAAATGATTTTTCATCAAGTTTTTTCCGCTATATCAGAAGATACAGGGTGTTCGGAACAAACGATCTACAGGGTACCAGTTGATTTTTTGAAACGAGACACCCTGTATTTCATTTCATTTTTGTATTCTCCCTTGAAGAGCTGATTTCATCAATGCATCACACTTGGGGTCTAGCGGGAATAATTACGGAGGTATAGGGTGTTTAAAATCGAGATTTTTCAACTTTGTGTCCAAACTATTCATTATATTGGTCAAAACGAGTCATATGCCCCTATGACAACCTTTGATTTACTATCTATTGACATTTAATCAGAAGACTACAGGGTGGTTCAATGAATAGCTTCAACAGAAAAGAATCCTTGAGTTGAAAAATCTCGATTTTGAACACCCTATATCTTTGCAATCAATCATGCTAGACTCCTAGTGTAATACATTGATGATATCAGCTCTTCAGGGAGAATCAAGAAATTCAATGAAATACAGGGTGTCAATTGGAAAAATCAACTAGTACCCTGTAGATCGTTTGTTCCGAGCACCATGTATTTCTGATGTTGCGGAAAAAAACTGTATTAAATATTATTTTGAATAATGCCTCAAATTTTGCGATTGATTGGAAAATAACTGAACTAGATAGGGGGAAATTTATGGTGGATCACCCTGTACCTCTATAATATTGAGCAAGATTAAGTTAATGAAATATCAGGATTCATGTTGCCAGCAGATAGAATAAATACAAGAACACTCCTACTATAAGAGTGAGATTAGGAAGATAGAGAATTTTTCTTATAGATATATGTAGTAGTATAATTAAGATGCCTAGTATAATATATACTTCGTTGGCATGTATGCATGTATACATACCAATTGGCCATCGACCTTACGAGATTTCCTTCAGCCCATGTGTGTTCTATGTGGGCTTTGTTACTAACTCCATACGCCATCTTAGGAGAAAAACCTTTCAATTGGAACGCAACAGCGAATCGTGCGGAATCGTCTCCTGCCAAGGTAACGAAAATTAAAATTTCTCTCGTTTTATAAATAAAATTTCTGCTCTGCCAGGAATTCGAACCTTGTGACCTTTTGATGTTCTGTGTAATAGTCGAGCGCCTCAATCACAGCGCTATTTTGCCGCACTTTTTCTTATAATTGTCTACATAGAATTTTTATCTTCTCAGTTTTCACCGCTTTACATTCCATGGTATCTACATGAATTTATCAAAAACCTGATATGGGTTCAGACACACTCAACAGTTCATCTCAACCCAATGTATTGATCACCACATGAGGTTGATTATATAATTGTCAATAATCTTGTTGTGAAGTTCTCTCAGACAGCTGAAAACAACAATTTTGTTGTCTGGAAGACGAAGTACTGACCATATTTCTCGACAAAAATAACTTACCATTACCTTATTATCAAATTCTAACGAGTTTCGCGCATTTTTAGCCACAGAACATCAACATACTGTTACCAACATTCACCAAATCCATTTATTACCATGTCCCCAGAATTTATCGTTCAAAATGTCGTTGGTCAATGTATCGTTAAGGTAACGATATCGTGTTCTAACGATAAGTTACTGAATAGACCCCTAAGTATGTAGTAGGCCTCGTCAAAATAAACTTCTTTTTCCCTGCGAACTCTGTGTTTGAAGTTGAATGAAAATAACTGCAGTTGCAAATAACTTATGACGAAAACCAACCATGTTTTGAAAAATGTCAACCATCTGTATCTCGAAAACACATCATTTTTCGATGAACATTTCATATGTAAAAAGTAGTCCATTTTGGACGAGACCTACCACATACTCAGTTTTTGTTCTCAGCAACTTCACTTAGCGCCCTTAGAGCTAATTAACATGCATTGATATAAGTAGATACTTTTGAATATTTCGAAAACGATCACCTCCAGCGTTGTTGAAGAAGTGTACCTTTTTGACTTGGAAATGGTGTGGGAATGAGATTTTTTCATGTAAAGTACCAAAAGCTTAGTGTCAAAAATGTTAGGACTGTTTGAAATCAATAATGACAGCGAACGCAGCGTCCTCTAGATGTTACATGAAAATTAATAGGAGATTATGATTCCCCTCATCAAGAAACCCCCAGATACCAAATTTCGGGCAAATAACGGATTGTTGAAGTTATTTTCAAAAAGCGAACAAAATTTCCATTTCAACACCCTGTATCCCCGAAACGAAGCATTTCCGGACACAAGTTTATCTAGACTTTTTTCTTGAGATTGTCTCAGGAATACGGCACTTGAATATTTCAACGTATTTATGTTACACCTTGTATATATTTGATTCACCACTAAATTTTGCGATCAATCTCAGATATTTGTATCCTAATGCCATCTACTTTGTTCTTAAATGGAATAGAATATAGGAAATAAGTCCCAAATTTATTGCAGGATGGTTTCCCGCCAAGTTCGTCCATATGTTAGACGAGAGAAGTAAAGAATACAGCTGTGCTGGTGACGATAGTATATCAGAAACTGTTACTGATCTAGTGAGAGGCACATTATGTCCTATGATAAAGCAAGTTCTAGAACATGGGATGAAACGTCCGAAATTTTTAGGTGAGTTTTGTGTTCATCATGCAATAATCCAGATGGACAGGAGTTCTTCTAGTGATGAATTTATAGAATTTTTAGAACAACAAAATGATTCTTGTTATGAAAGGCTATGCAATTTTGTGTTGAAACTTGGTTTGAAACAAAGTTCTCTCTTGTGTTGACCCCTGGGATGAGTCAGTGAGCCTCGTTGATTGAACACTGTTTTGTAGCATAACAAGTTATATTCTAGATCTAAATGCAAGTTGAATTAGTTTCAGAACGTTGTGATGAAACAAAGTTCTTTGACTGATCTATCTGGAGAAAAAGCTCAGACGGATCTGGTTGAATAAGGAGTTCAATGTTTATCCTTTTGTTATAGGAGGACCTTGTCATCCATGGTTGTTCATCGAGGAGTCCGCCACGAAAGAAGTTGAGAAAGATTTCAACTCGGTTTATAGCAGACTTATCCTTTGCAAAACGTATCGACTGGATGAAGATGGGAAAGTGTTGACTCCTGAAGAAGTAAGTAGCTCTGACATCAAATATTCCATCCACTTTTCGACTTTCGCGCACTAATGAATATATGTATAGGTGATTTATAAATAAGTACAATAATTATATTAATACAGTACATATAAAGATTTTTCTCAAAATTTTAGATTTTGCAACAATGTCGAAATTCTATTTTGGTTCCTCCATTTGTTAAATTTGTCTGAATTAATTCTAACGTCGCCCTGTGTACTGCAGTGATCAAACCAAGCTTTGACGCTTGGCTGAGAAGGAAATCAGTTGTAGCACTAGTAGAGTATTGCGAGCATAAGAGATGTTCAGATGATGTTAAAATCAAATGAATACCGTCACTGATACTTTTGTCATGACATTTCCACTAGGTTATTAGATGGTTTTGTATAACATGTGAAGTTATTTGAATTGCTTTCCAAGATGTTTCTTCATATTTCTTGTATGGCTTCATAGCTTTGGAAATATTAACAGTAGAAATTTTTCAAAACAAGTTCCATAATATGGAGGAGAAAACAGTATGAGTGATCAAGTGATCTTCCTCATTGACTTTAGCCACCTTACCAATTGTTTTTATAGTTAGTTATCTTCTTGGAAAGCTATATGCAATTTTACTATGAAAATTAAATTCGAAGCACACAATATCTATGCTGGTTATCACCATTAGAAATAAGGTTTCAAGGTAAAACCATCGTGAAAGCTGCTTCACAAAAACTCGGCATTTCATTAAATACTAGATCGATGCTTCTCATGATCTACACATATGAGGCTCAGCACCGAAACATATGCTGAAGCTCATAGATTTTATACAGGGACGGGACAGGGACATTCGCCTAGTTGGTGATGTCACACTCACTAGTTCCATGATATGTTTGGAACACCACAGGAAAGTCATCACGATATTCTAAAATAAATTGTCCAATTAGATATCTGTCCGGAAACGCTCCGTTTCCTAGTTATGTTTCATTTTTATTTTCGTTTCATAGAATCTTCAACAAAACACATAACTGTCGAATTACTAAAACTACTTAAACGTCAAATTCATCTCCTAAGTATTCTCCTGAGAAATGCAAAATGATGGCCGTAATAACCTCAACATGCATCGATTATCAAACAGTCGATCGACTTGTAACAAGGGTAGCTTTTTTCACGTAGATATAATAGAGGAATCGATTCCTTTACTGGAATATGTGCTTTTGAGTCCGCTCAAAAAAGTTATGAATCGTCAAAGAAGAAGAAGACGTGTAGGTGGCGCCCCCTACGAGTAAGAGCAATAATAACATCAGGATCGAATTCGACCCCTCAAATACCTCTTTACCAATTCCGTTTAATTAAGGTCATTATTTATTTGAAAATAACGAGAATTGAAAATAAAACTTGCACACCCTGTATCTTGGAAACGAAGCATTTACAGGCATAGACTTATATGGACAATTCATATTAGACTATTGTGAGGAATCGCCTCCTGAAGTTTGTCAAAGTACTTTTGGATCATCCTGTATAGATATTTCAACGGGAAATGTTCTTCAGAAATCACGGCTGTCATTCCATTACTAGCAATACCAGTCAGACGAACTCGACAAGCTCAGTCAGCACATCCTCTTGTCGCCGGCCAAGGAATATATTGAACAACTCTCTACCAAATCTCTTTTGTCTCTAGAACGACAAAGATTACGGAGTTGAGAAAAAAATAACTACCTTCTCTTACTATCCACCCCAGGTACACGCATGATGTTCCACGACCATATCGAAGATTTTTTTTCGTGCGCTCCAAGTTATAAAAAAAATAGTGATGGAATTTTAGCAAAAATCTTGAATGAAATGGATTGTTTCCAGTGATAACTAATTCAATCTGGTTGATGAAAATCAGTAAATAAACATGGTGTTCATGCATAACACTTCTTTAAAATTCAAAATTCAAAACTTTTTGTTTGAGATCAAATTATTTGGTTTGAGAGAGAAAATCCCAATTAAATTTATCTTTCTAGTATATTTTGTCGAAGTACCAGTCTCATCACCAATCACCGATTATTCTTCTATTGTTATAGTTACTGTATCGCTGTATCCAAGCTATCAATTTATCGCATGATGATGCCCACGCCCAGATGGATGTTAAACTCCGTTCCTTGATGTGTATGGGCTTGAACGAGCAAGTCCTTCATTTGTGGCTGGAAATCCTCTGTTCTTCCACTGACATTGTTCAGAAATGGTAAGAGTATCACTGATCTGGTCATTACATCATAAAAAAACAATAAATGGTATAGTTGATTAATGTCACCAACTTGGTTATGTTTCGTTTATTATTTTGATGTTAGAGTCTGAAACTCCACTCGAAAACGTGAATATTGAATAATACATTTGGCAAATCAGCACACCTCAGATGATAGTGAATGATTTTATTTTAAATTATAATTAAACCCAGAAAACTTGCTTTTTACCCAAGTCAAGGCTATAACCTAAGCAGACCAAAGTGTTTACACCATTTTGGTAATCATGCTATTGTAGTCTGGTTTGTAACAAATTTCGGTACCAAACCAAGCCAGCTACTTCCCGAAGTGTACAATAAGGCAGATGGGGGCGCGTTCGGCCATATTTTTGTAAATTAATTATACAATATTTCCATTACATGATTTCAACTGATTATTATTATCAATAACGGATAATCAATAATTAGAAAAGTAATTAAACTTGTTTAGGATATATCAATAATTACATTTTATGCAGTTACAATGGAGAAAATCGCTTCTTGTCGATTACAATGAAATTGCTGATTGTGACAGTTTCAGCACTTGTATGGGGCACATTCAGCATATTAGTCAACCAAGAAATATCAAAGGGCTGAGGATATAAATATGTTAGAATTGGTAATAACAAATTATATGTTTCATTTTACATTTAATTCTTCGAAATTAAAATAAAATCTGAAAGCTGAATCTCTTTTAGATTTATTTGGCTTCTTCAATTCTGGCATGAATATCATGCCTCGTACAATTTTCTACATCATCGAGGAAGGGAAAATGAAAGACATTTGTGACCCCTCTTCTGCTCAAATATTTGACTTCGAATATACTTTCAGGTAGTATAGACAAAACCTGACCTATGAAATATATTGCGATAGGATTTGCCTCAAACTTCACTAGGATGAAGTCACCAACTTCAATTTCATCTTCAGCAACAAGATATTGGAAACTTTCATCATCGTCTGAGTCACCACAAAAATCTAATATTGAATCATCGACGGACTCATCAGATTCACTCGAAATGTGAAGCTTTCTCTCAACTTGTTTTCCTTTCGCTTTGTTAACGCCTTTATTTTCTTTATCAAGACTGATTCTATCTGCTTTCCTTTGCGCTGCTTCTTCCTCGGCTTTTCTCATCTTTTCCATCTATTTATCTGCAACTCTATCCTTCTCCGGTGTTTCAGTATATTTTTGGATCGACTCGGCCGTTACTTGATGGAATTCTATGGCGAATGTAAAAACTTCACAAACGATAAAAATTCCACAAAATTCTCACACATGACATGTTTCGCTAACACAGTAGCTTCGTCAGCAATGAAATAAACTAACCTTGGCTTCCTTAACTTTTATATATCCTGACCTCCGTATTGTGTGTTCTGATAGGTTAGCCCTTTCAGTTTTCTTCATATAATTGCGCACCATCTACAACAATTCATTCATGAGAGTTGTTTACCTAGGTGGGGCAGATTCGGCTGCTGGCTGAAAGTACCCCACCATGGATTCGCATATGATTCTTGAAAATTCTAATTCTTCATTTATAATTTAGGTTAGGATTGTGTCTAGGAGTAGAAAGTAGATATAATCATGCAATCTGATATACAACATTGAATATCAATATGTGACATATACGACCATACATCTCTAATTGTCAATAGATTGAATAACTTACCTTTTTCAATGAAGTAAATATGAATTGAAATCAGAATGTTCACAATCGCTCTGAAGGTTAGCACCTATACACAAACAGTAACTATTGGAGCTACCAACAATGTGTATCGAAATGTGTGGGCAGATTCAAACATTAACCGGTTGAAATAGTAATGGCCCAATGTACCCCACGGCTGAATGTGCCCCCACCTCCCTTACCACACTGGCCAAGGATATTCAGTTGAAACCGTTTTACTTTTTATTATATCAGTTCAACAAAAATCATTTTGAATACTCCTCTATGTCTGCGTTGGATATAAAATGTTTCATGTATTCGAAAAGGCATTCATTATGATTTTTAAGTGAAATGTGAGTATTCCATATGATAGATGGTTTCAAATGTTTCAGGAATTGAATTGTTTTTGATTAAGAATGAATCATGCATTTTTTCGGTCGTTGGTCATCTTGAAAGAACTCAAATATTTAAAATTGCAATCTACAGTACAGTGGATTAGTACGCCAAATTACTATTATTTATTATGCTGAATCGAATGAGGGCAAACTATAAAATATCCGAGTCATGACTTCATGAGTCAACTCATCTGAACAACCATGTTTATTCAACGAACATTTGAATTCAAGATACATGTGAATCTAACAATCATCGTCATCAAAAATCTTAAATCGTCTTAGGAAAACGAAAGTACAGGGATGGGGTGGAGCAAATTGTAACATACTGTATTTCACCAGAGGTCGAAATTCAGTCTCCGACCATTTATATAAATGTAACATATTAATTCAATGCATATGTCGATGAATTTTCAAATTATTTGAACAATTACTCCAATGAATATTTGAAACATTGTTGAGTTTCTGCTTGAAACATTTTAATTCGTGAAAGATTTAAATTAGTTATTTGTTCAAATATAATATTTTCGGGTGAAGGACTGAATTAATTGTTGTATTTGGATGATTCGTGAATTAAAATGTTGATAATTCTTGAACGATTTGTAATGATTGTTGATAATTTCCATTTCGTCGCTGCGGTGAGCGGAATTCTTCCGTAACTACTGCCGACCTTGAAGCGCCCTATTTCTGTAGAACGCTGTAAAACGGGATCTTCAAACGCCGAGCCACAGAAAAGTACGGATTGAACACAACTGAACACGAGCGAGGTCAACCATTCATTAGCTTCTTTTATATAATAAGCCCAGTTGAAACAGTAAACTTGCTGGGAATTGTTCTGCACTTTGTACCAAATTGAAAAATGTTGTTTCTCTATTAGGTTCATGTCTAATTACTGTAGTACCAATGTATTGAAAACTTTGTATCACGCTATTTTTCATTCCCACATTCGTTATGGGATTCTGAACTGGGGCACTGTTGCAGCTGTGTAAGAATTGCTCAACTAGGATACAGGGAGTCTTGCAGACATGCATTCAAAGAACTGAAAATTCTAACAGTCGCCAGCACATATATTAGAATCTTGTGCACATGTATTTAGACATAAATCCGACTATCAACCATATCAACGTATTATTGGTATTCTACAATATTCTTCCCGAAGATATCATGAGTCTCCCAGCTCTCATGTGTTCAAATATAGGCTAAAGAAACTGCTGGTTCAAATGAACTGTTACACTTTTCAGGAATCTATCAAGGAACAGTTCATTCATATTCATAATATAGTTGACTTACCATCTATATTGCCATGATGACAAATTATTAAATTAATTTTATATAATCTTATTTACTTGTTAGTTTTGTCCGACATTATATTTTTGAATTTATGCTATGCTTATGACGACACTTCTCCAATTATTGTACATTGTGACAGTATTGGAACTGTACTTTTTTTTTTAATTTGAGAAATAAAGATATTATTATTATAGAAAAAAACTTCGTGGTAGTGAGGGTTTTGAAATACAATGGGGAAGTTTCCTTCAGAAAAATTTTCATCAAATTAGTTTCACACCAATTAGTAGTATGCTTTTGCAATTTATGATGACAATTGAAAAAATTCATATTATTTCTATTCTTGAACTAGAGCAATTAATAAATATTTTGGCAGAAAACGATGACGTCAACGATGAATCTAGGGTGAACATTGGGATAATAACTGGCTGTGAGATACAAATCTCCGAACAAGCCCGAACTCTTGCTCGAACTGAAAACTAAGAAAAAAGTGCAACTCTTCTAGAAGCCTTACTCATAACGATCACGTGTATATCCTGGAAAATGGGTGAATTCAAAAATAATGAAAATTAATTCAGAGTTTGTTTGCTTACCATCAGTGATATCCGAGAATTTAGTATTCAGAGATAAAATTGAACATAAATCACAACAACTTGATAACAATCCACAAGCGCGAATACAACGAAAACAGCGCATATATAATACTAGACCGTGAATCAGGAAAAAAATCGCAAACAACAATAAACAATGGAAACATATCCTCAATAAATTCGCAGCTATCAGCATGGTTTGCTGTGAAATTGTTTTACAGCGCAGTTGCCAGATAGAATTTAATAATTTCTTGAAACAATGAAAATCCACTCAGGATCTTCTTCAAGTTAGAATGTTATTTCTATTTGATTCATTTTAATATTCAACTTCCAGTAATGGATGATGTATTCCAGATATTATTGAAATATATAATAAAAAGAAAAAGGGCGTTCCATACGTATCCTCTTAGAAATGAATCACCAGTATAAACGAAGTGCATTATTTTTCAGGTATCATCCTTGGTCTTTCGTTTATAGCCCCGGCTGGGTGCAAATAAAGTGCGAGCTCCGGATATTGTCTCAGTTGCCGTTCAACCTGAATCCCGATTGGGAATTGCCTATGAGGAAAGATACAAACAATCAGCCCCTGAAAGACGGTGTTCGTGATATGCTAGTGAAACACCATTTGTTCAGTTGGGACATATGAAATCCAACAAGGTAAACGTACCAAAAATATGTATTTTCTGAGTCATTTGTTAGATACCAACTCGAGTGATTCGGGATTTTTATATGATTATATATTTATTTATCAACCATGTTAGTGTTTTGTTTTCATTTCCATTCCTGAGAGATAGAAAAACGGCCGAGGTTTATAGGGCAAATGAACTGGTTCTCGACCAGTTAACCGAAATGTCAACTATGAGAGTGGTGAATTCGAGTAAAAGCTTATAACATTGTATTGGAGTTAGTGTGTACCGATTCCTTAATAATTTGAAAGTAATTTGTGAATATTTTTCAAGCTTTTTTTTTGCATCCAACTTTTAAAATCTTGATGAAAAAATCTACAATTTCACTGTTTCTCGACCACCCCGCAGAGTTCTCTACCATTTACATGTTGATTCTCGACCAGATTGATTCAGGAAATGAGATGTTTGAAAAACACTTGACATGTAAGATTATAATGCAGAAATCATTTTATATACTCAAGTAAAGTCCTATAAAAACTAAACAACTGATAATAATAATTTTCATTTTCTGTTAAATGTATAACATGAAACAGTAAGGTACGTCAAAAAAAAAGAAAAAAAATATAACAAACAAACAATACGACAGCATCACAATTAAATACAATATATACATCACGTTAGTAACATTACCCTTGATTATTTAAATACTCAATGACATTACATAGAATTATATAAAATACTCATCCAGCGTATAGCAGGCCTTTTGCATTAGCTGTTGTTTAAGCCTCTTTTTAAATATATTCAAGTTTTTGAAGCTCTCAAGTTGTTCATCAAGAGAGTTATAGAGTTTACAGCCAGTATAATAAAAACTTTTCTGGTACAACGTAGTCCGGTGTCTCTCAGGTTGGAGGTGGCTTTTGAAGCGTGTATTATGATCGTGCTTCACAACAGTATTCAAAAACATGTTTTTATTTTTATTACGTATAAACAAACTTCTAGTATGTACAAACTAACTACGGTTAGGATGTTGGCAGTTCTGAAATATGCTCTGCAACTTGTTCTCATATCGACACTAGCAAGAATTCGAATTGCATACTTCTGAAGAACCAGTACTCTATTCACATGAGCACAATTGCCCCAATTCAAAATCCCGTACTTCATGTGGGAATGGAAATTGGCATAGTAAAACGAGAGTAGTATGTGCCGATTGCAGTGGTTCTTCATAAATTTCAGACTATAACAGCTACTCTGTAATTTTTTGCACAAATTATTAATATGATCGACCCAATGAAGCTGCCTGTCGAAAGTAACTCCCAATAGTTTCACTGACATGCTGCTGGTTATTTCATTATTAGAATCTTCCAATAGTTTGACTACATCAATCCTGCTGGAACCAAAAAGAACAGTTATTGTTTTTCCATGATTAAGTTGTAGATTATTATTTTTTGACCATTTCTCAATATTCGAATAAACCATTTCAGCAGTACTTTTTAGCCTATTTAGATCTTCATCAATAACCAAAATATTCGTAACATGAACATTCTGTATCTTTCGAATATAAAGTATAAGATCGTTAGCGAAAATATTGAAAAGAAGAGGACCCAAAACAGAACCCTGTGGCACACCTTGCTCGATATTCATCTCATCAGAAAAAGTGTTGTTCACTCTAATTATTTGTTTCCTCCTGCTGAGATATAAATACATATTTTCAAACATAGTAACCTAATGGTCATTGCCCCTGTCATTGTATTTGCGCAACTGCAATAGGTAATCCATGGTAAAATATGACAAATATTTCATTGTAAATTTCATCTTATACTCAGTCAGAAAAGCGATAATCAGATATATGGTCGAGAACCAAAATTTAGTTCAACCTGGTTCTTGACTACAATGGTCGAGAACTGAATATGGTCAAATTGGTTTTCGACCATCAATAAATGAATTGCAGAAGACATATTATTTTGGCCTTATTTGATGGTCGCAAACTAATATTCAATAAGTAGATATGTGAATGTATCAGTATCTAGAAAAAACCATCAAAAGTTTTCAAAGAAAGTATATAACTATAGACATAAACAATTAGCCACGATATGCTTTGCTTTCGACCACTTTGGTCGAGAAATACAAGAGCCAATTTTTGTAAAACGGGTTCGCGACCGCCGAATATTTATCACAAAAATAATATTTATGTCTGTTTTTTTTTTAATACAGGAAAAACGTTAGACTTATTACTCATACTTATTAGTATAATCAAAACTCAAAGACCTAGGGCATTCAAAATGAAGGTTATTCACTATTTTCTGGCCTGATATCAACTAGCACTTTTCAAACGTGGATGATAACACAGCCTCTGTCAATGACAGACGGTTTTCTAATAATTTTCTGTGCGAGGAGCTCAACTTTTTTCCCATTCTGTCAGCAATTTTGAATTAAGTTGAGTGGCCAAAAACACATTTCCTAGTGAATTCAATGGTATAAGGAATATTACTCTTATTATTTTGTCTCAAATGCCAGAACGGTCGAGAACCAGTGCCGGTCGGTTAACCAGAGCATCTACCTTATGGAAGCATATTGAAAAATTCTTGGAAAGTCGTGTTTGTCGCACCCCTGTGAAATCTTCATTATCTGATCGATTGAAAAACCGTTTTTTTTTGTTGGTCAGGTATTTGAAATGTCTATAAAAAAAAGTGATTTAATTTGTCAACTGTTATCGTGACCAACTGCAACCAATTTTATTGACCCATATTCTAAAAGTAATATTAGGGATTTTTCTTCATAAAAAAATATTGGATTCTGAATCAGGATCACTTGGAACAAACTATACTGATTTCTAGCATCCTAAAATACAGGGTGTCGGAAAAACGAATTATTAGTTTTTTGACAAATTATTATTCAGGACTACTTCAAACATATCTACAGCTATAAATCAAATATAAATATAATATACAATGTGTCTGAGAAAAAAAGGAAATATAGGCAATAGTTTTCTATTCATTCCAAAAAAACTATAATTCGTATTTTCGGACACTCTGTTAATGATGATGGAAACATGTGAAGGTACTTTTCTCAGACACAGTGTATTTAATGATAGAAATAAACACAGATATGTTTGAAGTGATCCTGAATGATAAGATGTCAAAAATTCTTTCCAGAAATACCACAGTACTTACTACAAATTCTCTTCGCATCTTCAAAAAAATAATAATTCGTTTTTTGGACACCCCGTGTTTTATGATGATATAAATCGGTACAGGTATGTTCCGATCCAGAATCCATCATTATTTTTGTGAAAAAAAATCCTCAGTACTTTCTGAAATATGGATCAATAAAATTGTTCACAGTTGATAGCAGTCCAAGAATAAAATCACTATCTTGTTGGATGGACATTTGAAACACCTCTGGAACAAAAAAAGTTTTTTGAAATCGATCAGATAATAACGATTTTTCAGGAGTGGTAAGTCCTTAACATGGACACACTGTACATATTAAAAAAAAAAATCAGATTTGGTACTTCTGACCAGAAATGTGTTCATTGCAGTGATATTTTCAGAGATTCGTTTCTTGGATGGGTTGTTGTGACCTATACTTGTATGAAATCTTTAATTGTTCTAAAATTGTTGTTTGTGGAGGGGGTGGGGGTGGTCTACAACGACGTCATTGTAATTCCTACTCATTTGCAAATCTGGAGAATGACTTGGAGCATAAAAAACAATAATTACTTCTTGGACATGATTCCCAAACTATGTCAGGAAATGGAAGTAGGTATGTATAATTGAAAATTCGGGTTGATTTCAAGTAAAATTTATTAACAAGAGCTACAGAACATTGTACTTCACATTATGAAAATATAATTCAGTAACCTATTCATTCATATTACTCTCAGCCAATAGGGGGAAGAACAATATATTCAAGATAAGTTCGTCCATTTCCTAGAAAAACTGGCTTGAGCTCATTATTAAAAATAATTAGTCAGCCATTAAAAAATGTTCAGTTCATTTCAACAGTTCACATCTCTACAGTAAATAATTTAGTGGACCAGAAGAATATTGTTTCTCTACTTGGATTAATTAATAACATGGCGAAGTTTTACAATCTTTATTTTTCTTGGGAATTTTGATAATAGTTTAACATATTTGTCAAATGTCTCCAAATAAATCTTGCCTGAGACGTGATATACAGGGTGATGAAATTTAATCAATTTCTTCAAATTTTCAAAAAATAATACAGAAAATTGATTCACCAAACATGAGTTCGCCTCTATGAATTTTTCTTATATCCAACTACATATCCAAAACCATTTTATCGCTCATTAAGATCCCAATAGTCTCTAGAGAAAATCTCTATATGGGTCAAGACAGAAAAAAAAACAAAGCTCCAATTTTTTTGACATAATTTCATCTTGAATACTAACAGTTCGCCATCAATATAGAATACAGTTAGCCAATGAACACTTTATTTGGGTCAGCCTGTATAATCAATGTCAATGGTTGAGTAATGTAAATTAACAATCGTCTTGGTTAGAGGTTAGGATGGTTATAAATCAACCCTTGCAAAATAACTTACAGAGTACCTACCTAGATATCAGTCAACATCAACAATTCTCAGATATAAATATCAAATCACAGTTACAGTCTGAAAATCATAAAAATTGTGATGCTATTCGCGGTTATTAGGACAATAGCTAAAAACATAATTGCTCTTCTTTTCCAACGCTTTGTCCATTTCTGACAACACGCGGTATGCACCAAATTTATAAACATAAAACATGTATTTTTAGCCCCCGATTGTGAAGGCCAAATAATTATTTTCTTCGATGAATAAAAACTTCTAGATAACTGAAGTAACTGGATTTCACTCGCTAAATTTTTTGGAAACAAATACGAACATCATTTTCTTCAGTTTATAATACTCCGACAACGCTCCTCACATCCGATACAAAGTCAGAAGGCTAAAATAATCATAGTCTGACGTCAGCAAAGAGCAGTCATTCAATGCCGATTTGTTCTGTTTGTTTACCTCA